TGGTAAATTCTCTTCCTCCACTACTACATCTTTAGTTCTCATCAAACTTTTGATGCCAAGATTCTAGCCTTTGGTTTATTGTCCTACTAAAAGTATGAGAATTGGGAAATTAATTCTAAAGACTTTGAGGTTTTGCTATATTATTTCATAGGAAATGTCATTTTGTTACATAGAAGAGTGTAAGGACTTTGTTGTTATTTGGAAATTCTTAGATTATCATGATGAATATATAAGAAATTAACAGAAGGCAGCCAACTACATGCTGGATGCAGGAGATAAAAATTGAAACTGAAAGGACAGAATAGATATGTAAATAGCAACCATAAGAAAGCCAGAGAGGCTATACTGATAACAGAAAAGCACAGGCTTTAAAATGAAAAGTTATTAGAGATAAAGAGAAACATTTTATAACTATGAAAGAACCAGTACATTAGAAATAGGGACTTATATGTACATGCACCCAAATAAATAAAGCAGAACTGACACAGATGAATAAAGGGACAATACAGCAATAATAACTGGAGACTTCAGAACTCGAAATAATGGATATTATTAATTGGAAAGATCAAGAAGTATTTCCAGATCTCCAGATACTAATTGGAGGTTTTATAGTATAAATGTCTATATTAGCCAGGGATGTAGCTCAGCAGCACAGCGCTTGCCTAACAAGTGCAAGGTCTGGAGTTTATTCCCAGTACAAAAAAAAAAAAAAAAGCCTATATTCAAAAAAGTAAGGTCTCAAATTGATACCTGAATACATTGAAAAAAGAATAAACTAAACAAAGAAGGCAGAAGGAAGTAGGCAACAGATTACAGTACAAATCACTGAAATAAAAAATACATAAAGTATAGGAAAAATTAGAGAAACAGCAAAAAAAAAAAAACCCTGCTTTTTTATAGTGATCAACAAAATTGACAAACCCTTATCAAATTGACTGGAAAATAAAGAAGAACCAAATTAGTAGAATGAAAAACATAAAAGGGGGCTGGTACTATCAGGCTTACAGAAATAAAAAAAGATTAAAAGATATATGAATAATCATTTTCTGAGAAATTAGATAACTTACCTAAAATGGACATTTCTTAGAAAAACACAAACTACCAAGACTGACACATGAAGAAATAAATAATCTGAACGGGCCTATAACAACACAATAGATTAAGCTGGGGAAAAAAATCCACAAAGAAAAACCCAGGACTGTATAGCTTCAATAGTGAATTCTACCACTTAACAAATTAATAGCAGTCTTTACAAACTCTTCTAAAAAATGTGAGAAGAGAAACACTTCCCAACTCATTCTATGAGCCATGTTACCCCAATACTAACATCAGAGAAAGATCACGAGAGGAGAGAAAAAAAAACCCTACAAAAAAATGTTAACATCATGACCAGTTGGGTTTTGTCTAGGAGTACAAGATTGGTTTAACTACACATTTAACAATAAATTCTTAAATATGGCACTTAAAGCACAAGTGCAAAAAGTAAATTGGATCTCACCAATATTAAAATTTTGTGCTTCAAAGGATACCATGAAGAAAATTAAAAGAACCTCCAGAATGGGGCAGAAGCATTTATAAGCCATGTATCTGGAAGCACTAGTGTTAAAAATAGATGAAAAACTCTTATAACTCAACTGTAAACAGGCAATAACACAATTTTATTTCTCTTTTTTCCTGTATTTTAGGGAAGGGTCTACAGGGTGTTCAGGATCTCACTACTAGATCGGACTCACAGTGATTCTCCTGTTTCTAGCCTTCCAAGTGCTGGGAATACAGGCGAATGCCGTCACACACAATTTCCTAAAAAGGCAAAATATTATATACACATTTCTCCAAAAAAGATATAAAAATTGTGAGTAAAAAATGATATTTGATATCATCATTCACAAGAGAAATAAGATCAAAACCACAATAAGATATCACTTAATATCTACCAGTGTGATCAAAAATCAGATAATAGGGTCAGCAGGAAAGCTTACCAGTCTAAAGCACCTGTTTAGGCAAGCTTAGGCAAGCCACGGTTTGATCCCGGCACCACATGCCGTGCCAGCCCTGCCCCCAGGGTGGACTGAGCCGGTCACAAAAAATTAAATAAATAAATGAATAAGTCAGATAACGGCATCAACAAGGATACAGACAAGTCAGAGCCTTCAGTGGTGTAGCAACTTTGGAAAATTGCTTGACAATTCTTCAGAAAAGTAAATGCAAAGTCACCATTTGTAGTTGTTGATACATTGTGTCAACTAGAGAATTCTGCAGTTTAGAAACTTAGCTAAAAAGCAGAAAGAAAGAAACTTAACTAAGTGACTCAGCAGGGGCCAGCATCCTCACTTTGTAAACATCCTGAACCTGTGCAAGACAAAGTTTGGGAGATTTGCGTGGGCAGGTAGGCCCATACAATATAAGGGAGCGGAGAGGCTCACTCTGTTCCCTATTTTGCTCTTGTTTTTGCTGTCTTCTGTTGTGCTCTCCCGCACTGCTTGCTGGGCCTTGGAGCCAGCTGCTTCTTTCTTATTTTGGGTGTTGGGTATTTTGTCTCAGCAGTGAGAGAAAAGTAAAACACCATTTGACCCAGTAATCCCAGTATTTTTCCTCTCTCTCTCTCTCTCTCTCTCTCTCTCTCTCTCTCTCTCTCCCTCCCTCCCTCCCTCCCTCCCCTCTCCAACAGATATGAAAACATGTATCCCTAAACATTTTCTACATAAATTTCAGCATTGTTATAATAGACAAAAGGTGGGAACAACTCAAATGAAATGGGAAACCACCCAAAGCAACACCAAAATATGGTGCTGTATATCCATAAAAAATTTCTAGCCCCCAGAAAGAGTGAAGTACTAACATGCTAAATTCATAAGCCTTAAAAACATTATACTAAATGAAAGATACCAATCACAAAGGACCCTATATTATGTGATCCTATGTATGTGAAATACACAAACAAAATCAATAGAGACAGAAAGTCAATTCCTAGTTGTTCAGATCTGGGGGAGTAGGGGAATGTAGGCAGTAATAGTTGCAGGGCTTCTTTTTGAGATAATTAAAACGTTCTAAAATTGATTGTGGTAATCACTGCGCATATATGTGACTATAATAAAAACCATTAACATATAGACTATGTCATTGGGTGGCAGATATCAGTGAGAAATGTGTCCTCCGTGCAATGTGGCAATGGGCGCTAAGGGCAACTAAAACATCCGGTCCCTCAAGCTCCATGTAGTTAGATACCATCAAGCCTCAGCCAGCTGGATGCCACCGCGTCACTGACTTAAGATGAGACTTTACTGTGAAGAAACTGTGAGCCATAGTTTGCTCATCTGCAAAGAGAGTATAATAGCAGTACCTACTACACAGAATGTATGTGAAGCTAATTATTGTATATTTGCATAGAAAAAGCACACAGTAAGCATTCAATTACATGATAGCTACTATAACTGTCATTGTATTTATTCTACTATTATCTCTTTCTAGGCATTACATTAAAATAGTGAGCATCTGGCATGGTAGTGCACACCTGTAATCCCAGCACTTGGGAGGCTGAGACAGGAGGATCGTCATGAGTTCAAGGCCTGCTTGGACTATATAATGAGACCCTGTCTTAAATAATTAAATAAATGCCATCATATTTCACATATAATAAAAATTCTCTTTATTGTCAACATCCTATATAGTCTTTTCCCAGGTTCTCACATGCTCTCTGTAGATATTTTAAATGTATTCAGTACAGGGTCACAGGGTTTCACTACACAGATCAGATTCATAGTGATCCTCCTGTTTTCAGCCTCCCAAGCGCTGGGATTACAGGCATGTGCTGCCATGCTCCATCTCTATCCCAGTCTCAACGTACCCTGGTGGCAGAACCGTAGATATTTTAAAAGTCTGTCTTATATTCTATACAGTGTACTTATCCTAGTTGACTTAACTATTCTCTTAACCTTTAAGCCTTTTCAAAGCATTGTTTTGGAGCTGGGGAGATGGCTCAGTGGAGTAAGGACTTCCCTGGCAAGGCAAGGGCCTAAATTCAATCCCTGGTTCTGAAAAAAAAAAAAAAAGTTCAGTATCAAAACATTGTTTTTGCTAATATGAAAGATGTTATGGTGGAAACTTTATCGAGAAATAATTTTTCTCTATATTTGGGACTTTTTCTTCACCATTACAAAAGAGGATTACCGAGTTAAGCAAGAGGGCTCTTTTTGAGGCTCTTAGTATAGCCAACTTTGCCGTCCAGAAGGGGGGGGGTCAGTTTTCATCTCATTGAGCAGGGCCTCAGAGCACTCACGTGGCTGTGCCCTAAGCCAGCTGCAGGTATCATTTGATTGTATTTCTATTTCGTTTTGCTTCTCTCTCTGATGCCAAGGTTTGAGCTCAGGCCTTTGCACACACTGAGCACACACTGTGTTGCTGAGCTGCTTCCCCACCCTAGGTACCACTTTTATTTTCTAAAATATTTGCAAACTGGAAAGGCAAAATGGCATCTCATTTATTTGGTCTGTTACTCATAAGCATAGATAGTTTTCCAAATACTTTTGCACAACTAATATCATGAAAAAAATGGTCTTGTGAATTGTCTGTATATGCATCTGATGAGGTTGTAACTTCTCAGTGAGTCATACACATTTAAAAAATTAATTGCTTCTGACTCATCCCGTTATTTTACCTTTTAAGTTTTGGGGGGTTTTGTTGTTATAATTGTTTTAAATGTATGAGTGCTTTGTTAATTAAGTCCGTTGACATTTCTCTTCTTTTTTTCCCTTTAAACTTAGCCCAGAGAAAACACCTTTCTTTATAGGTGGTTCAACACAAAACTGTGATTGAGCTACTCAGAATAATTTTTAAAATTTATGAATGATAAGAGCTTGATCTCATGACTATTTGCTGCAGTGACTTTCCAGGAGCTGATGTTGTCCCTCTTTTTTCATTCTAGGACCCCAGCTAATCACTAGTAAGCATCCAGGAAGGGGCTCTCTGGTACGCTGGTGCTTCCCAGGGCTGCCAGAGTTACCATGGAGGAGGAGTCTGGAGAGGAGCCTGGGCAGGTAAGGTCCACAGCTCCCAAGGACTTTCACTATTATCACATGGATCTGTACGATGCTGAAGACAGACCGCAGATCTTCCCAGACGAAAGCACTAGACTGAAGAGAGAAACAATCCAAGCTGAAATGACCCTCGAGCCAAGGCAGGCAAGGCAAAGCCAAGTTCAAAGAGACCTCCCAGAAGAAGTGGATGAACTTGTCCACTTATATGGACTAGAGGATGACCACGAGTTGGGGGATGAGTTTGTTGATGAAGACGAGGTAGGGGTGCCAGCGTATCCTCCTTATGGAATGAAGAGGGGGGAGTCAGCCAGAGAGCAGAGAGACTGGAGACTTGGTGGAGAAGCTGAGGCTGAGGACCAGGGCTATGCAGGGTGGGGCATGGCAGGCCAGAGCCAGGCCTTGCGGGAAGCCTACAGGTACACACATGGCTGCGCCAGCGAGGAGTACGAGTGCTACGTCATACCAGAAGAGGAGGATGAGGAGGAAGATGCCGGACTCTTCTGTGTCACTTGCAGAACTCCTGTCAGAGCTGTGGAGAAAGATTTTGATGAGCACAAGGAGCATGAAGTGACCCCACTAAATAAAGCACTGGAGAGCGCCAAGGTAACAGGCTTCCTGGGGTCTTTGTTGAGAAATCATATTGGGTGGGGAAGACAGAGCAGAGGAGACAGAGCAGAGGGGGCCACTGACACCTCCTCTGTGATGTTCTGTTGGACAGGATGAAATTCACAAAAACATGTACAAGTTGGAGCAGCAGATAATCGAGATGGAAAATTTTGCAAGTCACTTGGAGGAGGTTTTCATCACTGTGGAGGTAAGAGCATGCTTGGTGACCTCATTAGACATACATGGCCTCCCTCAGTGGCCAGGAGGGAGATGGCCAGTTCTAGTGTAAATTAGAGAACCCGTTTCTTTCTCATGTGAGCTGTTACCCCTACTCTGTCTTCTCACCTTTTCTCCAGCCCCCACAGCCCCCAGGCACACCTGCAGCTTGCACTGTATTCTGCATGCTGTGGCTGAGGCTGTCGTATCCCCCCCCCACACACTGCACCTCTGCCCCAACATCAAGGGATGTGTGGGAACAGGCGCTGTATACATGTTTGGTGCATGAATAGATAAGACAGAAACTTTGCAAGCAGAGTCTTGGCCCTTCTCTTTCTTGGCCTCCTTTTTCTTCCTCATCCCTTGTACCCAAAGGGTGGTGGCTCAAACTTTCTTTATTCAAAAAAAAAAAAAAAATCAATTCACAGTGGCATCACCCAGGTGGAAAAAAAGTGAACATTTGAGCGCAAATGGAAAAACAAAAAAACAGCCTACCCCTTGGATTTTGGTTCATTTATGTATTTTAGTGCATTTTTTCTTGTACACACTGAGAATCCCCTGTGTGTTGCCTGGTGTACCAGCTAGGTAGCCAGACAGTGGTTACCTAGCCATTTCTTTGGTCCATGTCATTTCTTTGGTCTTTAGGGATGATGGAGGGCCTTTGGTATATCATGCAATGCCATAAAATCAGATGTGGGATTAGTCACTCTGGTCTGAGAGGCTATCGTATCCCCCGGCACTCTAGCCAGGGACAAAGCATCCAGCCCCCACAATTAAGTACTAGGAAGAGAGGTTTATTTTTAGCTTCTGGTTTTAGAGAACTCAGTCCATAGTAGGCCAGCTCCAAGATGGAAACAGCACGGTGGAAGGAAGGGCCTGGTGGAGGAAAGGTGCTCATCTATGATAGCCAAGAAGCAGAGAGGGAGCCAGGGAAGAGAAGGCACCCTTCCAGGTCGTGGCCCCATGACTACTTGCAGCCAGGCCCACCCCCTGCAGCACAGTCAGTCGCCAACTTATCCCTAGCTGAATGAATCCACTGCTGAGTAACCTGCCCGTGACCCAGTCACCTTCCACTCACGTTGTAGATCTTGGCCATAACAATAGCAGTTGTTAGGTGTTCTCTGCGACAACATGGTCATTCTGCCAGTTACTACTACTCAAGCACAGACATGCATGAGCTGTGCCTGGGCCACAAAAATCAGTGCCATTGTCTTCATCCAGTTATCACTTTACTGACTTGCTGAGAGATTGGTAAGACTCCAGAATTCTGAGGGTAAAGGGACCTCCTCTCCCTTGAGGCTCTTCACCTTCCTCACCCTGACCTGGGCATGAATGTGGTCCAGGACTGCTGAGCTAGAATCCACTGTTCTGTCACTCTGCCTGTTGGTGGCTGCGCAGAGCCAGGCCAGCCACTTCTCGCAGGCTGCTTCCAGGAAGCTCAGCAAGATGCCCATCCTGGCTTTGCTACGCATTCACTCTGCTGTTCCCCATTCCTCCTAAGAGTAAGCTTCCTGGGGTGTAGCCTGGTGAGTATACACCACCTCCCTGTGAGCCTTCCAGACGGGCAGATCAGGATGGAAGGCCCTAGGACTTCCCCCTCCTAACTTCTGTGTGCTCTGCTTCTGTTAAGGTAGCCTCAAGAGCACCTTGTATGAATTAACAAGGCCTGAGGTCCTTTGCTGGGGAGCTAGAGCTGCTTCACCCTCAACCTTAAAGGGAGGAGAGCTACTGCACTGGCCCCCGCAAAAGGCAGAGAAGGGCGAAGCCTCCCTTTCTAGCACTGGGTGGGGAAGGGGGAGAGTTAAGAACACAACAGCCAGCACACAGGTCCTCACTGTTCTGTCAGTGTTACAGTCTGGATTTTCTTTTTTTTTGTTCTTATTAGTGCCTTGCGCATCCTGACAAGTGCTCTACTATTGAGCTACATCTCCAGCCCTTTTTATTTAATTTTGAGCCTGGGTCTTCCTACATCTCCCAGGCAGACCTTGAACTTGTGATTCTCCTGCCTCAGCCTCCCGAATGGCTAGAATCGCAAGGGTACACCACCATACCCAGCTTGGTTTGGGTCCTAAATATCCCCTGCAAAGCGCATGTGTTGAAGGCATGGTCTCCTGCTCCTGACACTTGGGTGATGGTAGAGACTTGAGGTGGGGCCTCGCTGGCTGAAGTTGGTCCCTAGATGTGCCCTCAGAGAGTTCCAACCCTTTCCTCTCTGTTTCCTGGCTTCCATGAGGTGAGCAGTATCCTGCCGCAGCAATGGAAAGCTGATGAAGCCAGCTTACTTGTTCTTCTGTCTCTACCTCTGTCTCTGTCTCTCTGTCTGTCTCTGTCTGTCTGTCTCTGTCTGTCTGTCTGTCTGTCTGTCTGTCTGTCTCTCTCTCTCTCTCTCTCTCTCTCTCTCTCTCTCTCTCTCTCTCTCTCTCTCTCTCTCTCTCTCTGCCCTGTAGTACTAGGGATTGAATCCAGGGCCTTTGCATGAAATCACACCCCCAGCCCTTTTCTATTTTTAATTTTGACACAGGGTTTTGCTAAATCACTGAGTTGCTCAGACTGTGCTCTCACCTATGGTCCTCCTGCCTCAGCCCCCTTGAGTGCTTGGATTTCAGGTGTGCACCACCCTGCCTGGCCCAGCTTATCTCAAAGCAAAGCACCTTCCTCCCCAGTAAAGACTCTGAAGCCAGCCTTTAATGCTGTGCATTGGAGAGTCACCTATTGCTTACTCTTCTCACCATTCAGAGCAATTCTTATGTACAGGAAAGGTGCTTAGTTATGACTCTGAATGATGGGTAGCCTCTTTTTTGGAACTCTCCTTATCACCTGATGAAGATGATGCAGTCAAAACCTACAGAGTCCCCTCGGCTTCACTATAAAACAATGAGGAGCAGGAACCACCATCTTCTACTTAATATTCCTCATGTTGTTATCCTGAACTGAATACTGCAGTACCAAACAAAGCACCCACTTGGTTGCACCTTGCATCTTCTTATCTATTAGGCAGTGCCACTTGGCTCCAATACACATGGCTCCAGCACTCAGCTTCCCCCTTAGTGGTGTGACCCTAACTGATGCCATTTGGTATTTCTGTGATCCAGGTATCATAAGAGGAACATTGTAAGGAGGGCAAACATTTTCACCTTAAGATGAAAGGTTCATATAACAGTCTGGTTCATTGTTGTTGAGTTCCTGGGCTGGTTGTCATGGTGATGGAAAATAGCTAAGACAGGGAGAGGACTGCAAAATACTTCTAGGAAATAGAGCTGTGGCTTTTGCTAAGGTCATTTCTGAGGGTCTTAGATGGAGACTCTTCTGTCCAGGGTCCCCCAGCATTTATGCCAGCATCCTGGGAGAGATAAGATGCTGGAAAGGGACTGAAACCCCTCTGGGGAGATGCATGTTTCTGCCCCTGGTGATTCTAGTCACACTTCACATGCACTGAAATGATGACTGAGTCCAATCGTCTTGCAGGAGAATTTTGGAAAACAAGAACAAAACTTTGAGTCACATTACAATGAGATCTTGGAAACACTTGCCCAAAAGTATGAAGAAAAAATACAAGCTCTAGGAGAGAAGAAGAAAGAGAAGCTGGAGGCCCTGTATGGGCAGTTGGTCAGTTGTGGGGAAAACCTTGATACCTGCAAAGAATTAATGGAAACCATAGAGGAGATGTGTCATGAGGAGAAGGTGGACTTCTTGAAGGTCAGTAAGGAAATGCAGAGGAGAAATGAAATCTTAAACCAAACTGACAGTTATGGCTAGAGGAGGTCAGGTTGTCCTCATCCCTGGGGTGCTGAAATTGAGCCTTGTGGTCAGCATCCACTTGTGGTCTGTGGACATTCACAATAGGGAGGTCATGGCCCTGTCATGCTGCACAGCTTTGTCGTGAGTGGCCAGGCTGTTGCACTACTAAGACAGTACCTCTGTCCTGGAGACCCAGAGATCTGTCACCCCCTCCTAGAGCTGAGCACAGATTGCACCCTAAGGGTTTTCTGGCCACCTCAGGCGGCCTCTTGGAGCTCTGAAGTGAAAGTCCAGGCTAAAAACAAAAAACGAAAAACCTCCTAAAATTTTCCAGTCACAAGGGCAATTCTAAATCTTACGGCTTAAACTTAGGCATCCTATGTATCCTAAAATATTGATTTCTTAATTTCTTCAAGTCAAATTAAATCTGACCTAAGTCCCATGTAACTGGGCTGTGAGAATTTCAATCTCAGTCAGAGCTAGGATCCTCTTCCTTCACATGGTTCTGCAGGACTGGGCCACATGTGGTGTCCAGGATGTGGGGAAAGAGCCTCCAGCTCGAAAAGTTTCCTGGCTGCCGTGTGTGACCCTCCACATTGCCTGAGCCCACAAAAGGTCCTTGAAGCCCAACCACACCTCTTTCCTGCCACGCTTGGGCAAGAGAACTTGACTAAAGCAGAGAGCAATCTCCAGGCACCATGAGAGCCATTCACACTTATGCCTCTTGTGCCAGAGGACCCACAGTGGAACCTTGTCCTAGAGACACAACCCAGATTGGGGGGGATGGGGGGTGACACTCTGAAGGTATTCTTACCACTTTTTTTTTTTTTTTTTTTTTTGTGGTAATGGGGATTGAACTCTGGACCTTGCGCTTCCTATTAGGTGCTTAAGCCTCTGAGCTGTCTCCCTGGCCCCTTCACACCATTTTTTATAGTGGTAAACAACCAAAATGCCCAACATAGGGCAACAGTGAAGTAAACAGTGGGGTTTCCCTTCCATGAACTGTTTGCAGGCTCTCCCTGACTGCCTGTGATGAGGCAAGGGCTTACCCGGGTAAGCGGGAAAAGCCATCACGGGGAAGAAAATGCACACAGGCGGGATGGTTTTATGACGATGTGAATACAGTTGATTTCTCCTTTCTCTTACTTCGTAGTATATGTTTACATACAAGATTTACTTCCAGGCAAAACATTTTCTCCTGTTCTCTCCCTTTGTAGGACGCGGTGGCCATGACTGACAGGTAAAGCTTCTGCTCTCATGCACATTTCTTCTCTGCTCCTTCCACCTCGGGACCGCATTCTGTGGCGTTCTGTGCTTCCGGTTTCGGCTTCTGTGTCTCCTCTATGTCAAAGAGCACTGGCTTCCGAATGGTGGTGTGGGGTCTCGAGGAGGAAAGTCTAGAATTGAATCTCAGACTCTCAGGCCCCCAGCTGTTCTAGGGCTGGGTAACAGAAAGCAGCCACAGTTTAGAGTCAGGCAGACAGGTGTTCTCACCCTCCTACCCTGTACCTGGACAGGTCCAATGTGTCTAAAGACCCACATTCCCTCTTTACACACATGGTCCGTTTTGTGAGAAGCCAGGAAGACAGTGTCTGTAAAGCCACATGAACATTGAAACTTAATACCCTAAGGATTTGGGCAATAGTTGACCTGGTTTCAGACCCTGCCTTTGCCACTTAAAAACCTGGCGATTGCCAGAAGACTCGGAGCCCCAAGCTCAGCACTTTGAGAGCACTGGCAGCCCCTGCTGAGCCCTCCTGGGTGCTGTGGGTGAGGGAGCCCCCATGGGGAGGAAGTGGGCGTGCTCCTGGCCACCCTCTGACACAGCCCTTCCCTTCTGCCGGCCTCAAAGGCGCAAACCAACACCACCCACCCCCGGTGGTGACCTCCCAGGTGGGCAGAGGCAGCCAGTAGTGTGCTAGGACAGGAAAGTCAGCAAAGAGGGCTCTAAAGTCAGTTCCAGGGTGCCGCTCCCGGAGACAGCCTGAGAAGCAGGCCCCTGCATTCTTGCTGCTGTGTCTTTGTGTGCACATAGGCTCGGGAAATTCCTGAAAACAAAAACAGACGTGGAGATCTCTGCACAGCCTGACTTTGAAGACCAAACCTTGGACTTCTCTGATGTGGAACAGCTGATGGGTTCCATGAACACCATCCCAGGTGCGTATGCCACCTGAGGGGGACCCTCACAGCAAGCTCAAGTCTCCAGAAGCCTGTGTATGTGTGTATGTGTGTGCGTGCACATGCGCATATATGTGTACTGAACATGAGATCTAGCCTCGTAACATGTCTCACTATGTGATGCAGTACATATCCAGAACTTACCCATCCTGTAGAACTGAATCTGTACACTCACCGAGCAACAATTCCTCGCTGATTTCTCCCCCAAGCCCAGCCCCTGATAATCACCATTCTGTCCTCTACTTCTGAGTTTGACTACTTCTGGTATCTCATAGAAGTGGAATCATACAGCACTTGTCCTCTTGTGAGGCTGGTTCGTTTCACTGAGCATAATGTCCTGTGTTCATCCGATTGTCACAAACTGGAGGACTTCCTTCGTAAGGCTGAGTAATAGTCTATGTATTTGTACCACGTTGTCTTCACCCCTCTGTTCGTGGACATTTAGGTTACTTCCACCTCTTGGCTATTGTGAATAGTTCTGCAGTGACTGTGGACTGCACATACCTCTCGCAGATCACAATTTCACATTCTTTTGGGTGCATACCTGGGATGGGATCGCTGGATCGTATGGCAGTCCTACTTTTAATTTCTTGTGGAACCATCTCCACTGTATTTTCCATTGTGTCTATGCTAATTTACATGCCCGTTGGCAGCGTGTCAGAGTTCCAGTTCTCTACATCCTTGCCAACACTTGTCATCCTTGGCTTGTCATCCCACCCTCCACCCCTAACACTTGCAGAGAGAACCCAGGGCCTTTGCACTAAGCTACAGCCCCATCTTCTTTTGTATTTTGAGACAAGTTCTCACTAAGTTGCTCAAATTGGACTAGAACATACAATCCTCCTATCTCAGCCTCCCAGAGTGCCGGGATTACAGGCATGCACAATGCCTAGCTGACTTGTTTTTTGATAATAGCCTTAACAGTGGGCATGAAATGATCCCTCATTGTGGTTTTGATCTCTATTTCGCTGAGGATTAGTGATGCTGTATATGCACTCATATATTTGGTGGCCACTTTTTAAAAATCTTGTATTTATTTGGTATAGGGTTTCGCTATACACCTTGGACTCATAGTGATCCTCCTGTCTCAGCCTCCCCAGTGCTGAGATTACAGGTGTGTACCAGCATGCCTGGTTTCACTGGCCAGCACAGTGCACCCGAGGTCCCAGGGCCAGCATGGCACATGGTTCCAGGGATCAAACCCGGGCCCTTGCACTTGCCAGGCAGGCACTTATTCTACTGAGCTATCTCCCCGGCCCACTCTGATCATTTTTTTTTTTCTGATCATTTTTTAATGAGGTTATTTTGATTTTGTTTTTATTGTTTACTATTGAATTATAGGAGATTCTTATATATTTTGGATATTAGTCTCTTTTTTGGGGGGCAATGATTTGTTTTCCTTTTGGTTTGGGCAGGAGATTAAGCTAAATCCCAACCTCCCCTTTTTAAAAAATTTCTTTTGAGATAGGTTCTAGCTAAATTGCTCAGGCTAATCTTAAACTTAGGATCCTCCTGACTCAGACTCCCAGAGTGCTGGGATTACAAGGATGCTGTACCATGTTGGACTAGATATTAGTCTCTTAATCAATATAAGGCATGCAAATCATTTCCCCCAACTCCATAGATTCTCTTTCCACTCCTCTTTGTTATGCAGAAGCTTTTAAGTTTAGTGCCGTCCTGCTTATCTGTAGTCTTCATTTTATGGTCTGTGTTTTCCATGAAAATCCAAGAAACCATTTCAAGACCAATGTCAAGAATATCTTCTTCTGTGTTTTCCTCAAGGATTTTACAAGGGTCATGCTTTTACATTTTTTAATGATTTTTATTAGTACATTTTAGGTACTCTTTTGCATGTTTGTCCAGTTTTCACAGAGAAAAATAATCTCTTTTGAAGAGATTATTCTTTCTCCTTTGTATGGTCTTGATAATCTTTTTAAAAAAATCAGTTGGCTGTACATATGTGAATTTATTGTTGACTCTATTCTATTGATCTATGTGACTATGCTGAAGCCAGTACCATACTGTTTTGTTTTTTTTTTTTAACATGTATTTAGTGTGTGTGTGTGTGTGTGTGTGTGTGGCCAGCTCAGCCCACGAGGGGGCGCAGCTGGCTGGCATGTAGTGCTGGGGGAATTGAACCGTGGTCCCTGTGCTTTAGCCAAGCTTGTTCCAAGGAGGAGCTTTAGACCACTGAGCCATCGCTCCAGCCCCCATACTGTTTTAATTACTATATCTCTGTCATATATTTTAATGTCAAGAAATGTGATGCCTTTACCTTGGTCTTTTTCAAGACTGCTTTGGTTATCTGGGGTTTTTTGTGGTTCTATTTGAATTTTTACTATTTTTGTTTCTATTTCTATAAAACATGCTATTGAATTTTCATAGGGATTTTATCTGTAGATGACATTTTAAGAATATGCTTCTACTATGTAACCACATGATGTCTATTTATCTGTGTCTGCTTTAATTTCTTTCATCCATGTTTTGTTTTCAGGGTATAAGGCTTTCACCTCCTTGATTAAGCTTATATCTATTTTATTCTTTTTGTTATTATTTTAACACCACATCTCAAATGGACCTAAGCGGCATATATAGGACATTCTGTTCAACAATAGCACAATACATATTTTCTCAAGTATAAATGTCACATTACCAAAATTATAAATTAGCACAAAACAGGTATTAGAAATTTTAAGAAGACTGAAATCTGGGCCAGGGAGATGGCTCAGTGGAATAAGTATTTCCTTGGTAAGCACAAGGGCCTGTGTTCAATCCCTGCTTCCACCAAAAAAAAAAAAAAAAAAAAAAAAAAAAAATCTTTTTTTTTTTTTTGGTGTAACCAGGGATTGAACTCAGGCCCTTGCACTTGCCAGGCAAGCACTTATTCTACTGAGCCATTTCCCCGGTCCCCAAAATCTTATAAAGTGTCATTTCTGACCACAGTAATATGAAACTATAAATCAATAACAGGAAGAAAATTTGAAAATTCACAAGTATGTAGAAATTAAACAATATACACCTGAAAAACCAATGAGTCAAAAAAATCAAAACAGAAATGGGGCCTGAGTTCATGGCTCAGTGGTAGACACTGCCTAGTACAACCACTATTGAAATTAGTTTGGAGATTCCTCAATTTCTTTATCCATTCATCTGTCTATGGGTGTATAGGCTGCTTCTAAGATTTGGCTATTAATGAATTGTGCTGCTATAAACATGGGCACACATGTATCACTGTGATATGATGTCTTTAACTTTTGGGGGGGAAGAAAACTAGGAGGAGCCTAACTGGATCAAGTGGAATTTTTTGTTTTAGTTTTTCAAGAAATTTCTGTTTCAATTTCAATAGTGGTTGTATTACTTTACTGAAGAATGGTTGCTCTTCCCCTACATCCTCACCAACATTTGTTTTCTGATTTTTTAAATGATAACCATTCATTCTGGAGTAAAATGAAATCTCACTGTTGTTTTAATTTGCATTTTTCTAATGGCAAGAGATGTTAAATATTTTTTCACATATTCATTGGCCATTTCTATTTCTTCAAAAATATGTGTGTACATTTCAGTTATCCGTTTTCTGGTTGGGCCCTTTATGTTGAGGGGGTCTAATTTTTTTTTTAGTTCTTAATATATTCTAGATATTATTTCTTTGCCTGTGGAATATTTGACAAAATTTTATTCCATCCTGTAAGTTATTTCTTCTCTCTGAAGGCTGTTGATTTTTTTTGGGGGGGTACTGGTAATCAAATTCAAGTCCTTACACTTGCCAGGCAGGTGCTTAGGCCACTGAGCTGTCTCCCTGGCCCAGGCTGTTGATTTTTGAGTGCTGACTTTGGGTCCAGTTATGGTACTAAATTTGACTATTAAATCTGGAAGCCTTTGCATAGGGTTTTGGGGCTCTTCTATGTAGAATATTATGTCATCCATGAATAATAATTTAACTTCTTCCTTTTCTATCATTATTCCTTTTATTTCTTTCTCTTGTCTAAATTGCTCTGGCTTCTTGCTATATCTTGGTCTTAACCATCCAGCAGAAAAGTATAAAAACGAGGTAAAGTAAATCCATTATTAATACGATGAGCTGTAAAAGGCTCAAGTCAATAACTTCTGAGGATAGCCCACTAATATTATAGACTGCTAGACAGTGTTAGATTGTTTAGTTGAATTCAAACACCTATAGTATTTAGATGCCAATAGAATATTCACCTCTGACAGAACAAAAATTAAAATTAAAATTAAAATTAAAAAAAAGATACAAAGGAAAGATCATTTTGTATTTATATATACAAAATAGTTAGGATAAATTTACAGATACTTTTGCTTAACTCACTGAGAAGAAAGAGGTGTACTAACAGTGTTTGGACAGAATATCCTGTCTGCTTCTTGTACTATGGATAACCACTAAGAACATAACAATGTACAGTGTATTGATTATCAAACCTGTCCTATTAATCAGCTGTGAAACTCTCATTCATATTTATTTCTCAATAAAAACATAAATATAAATAAATAAATAAATAAATAAATAAATAAATTTCTCTGGCTGGGCCACGGAGATGGCTCAGTAGAATAAGCACTTCCCTGGCAAGCGCAAGGGCCTGAGTTCAATCCCCGATTTTGCCAAAATAAATAAATAAATAAATAAATAAATAAATAAATAAATAAATAAATTGCTCTGGCTAAGGTTTCCATAACTATATTGAATAAAAGTGGTGGCAGTGGACATCTTTGCCTTATTTCTGATTTTAGAGTGAAAGCTTTCAGTTTTTGCTAAGTATGATGTTGGCTGTGGGTTTGTCATAAGTAGCTTTTATCACCACTGAGCCATCTCCCCAGCCCTTCTCTGTCAGTTTTGAAAAATAATTTTGTGTGGTACATCAATCTGGATTGAAGGTTGTTTTCCTTTAGAACTTAAAATACTTTATTCCAAACTCTTATTGACTTGAGGGTTTGTGCTGAGAAGTAAGCTGTGATTCTGATGGGTTGTTTGTTTTCCCTACAGCTTTTAAGATACTATTCTTGTGTTGAATTCTGAAATCTTGACTATGGTATGGCTGGCTGTAGATTTTTTTTTATCGTGGTTAATTGGAACTCTATATACCTCACTAATGTGTATGTCAAGTTCTTTTTCTCTACCAGGAGAGTTTTCTGTCCATGTCTGTGAACAGGATATATATATATATATATATATATATATATATATATAATTTGTGATGACTCCTGCTTTTTTATTGACTCCAGTCAATCTTAACTTATTCTTCATTGCCTCATCTAGCAGGTGCTGGATTGATTTCATGTGGCCCCATGCTATTTTTTTTAATGTATTGGGTTCAGAGTCTTATTACACAGTTTGGATTCATAGTGATCCTTCTGTTTTCAGCCTCCCCAGCACTGGGATTACAGGTGTGCACCACCATACCCAGTCTTGGTGGCCAGCTCAGCACCTCAGGGCCAGGCCTGGCGTGACATGTGGTGCTGGGGATCGAACCCTGGTCCCTGTGCTTGCCTAAACAGGCATGGAGTCTGTGGAGCTATCTTGCTGGCCCAGCTCCATGCTATTTTTAAGAAATCTTTCCTTTCATGATTGCTAAGCACAAGCCTGTCTTCTATATCTGAGATCCTGTCCTTATACTAAATCTGCTGAGGATACTTTCAATGGAATTTTTATTTTCTGCATATCTGCTTGAATCTGCCTTATAAATTCCATTTCTTTTCTATGATGAGCATTCATGACTTCTATATTTTTTTACATTCATCTGTTTTTGTGTATGTATATAATCTAGAGTCACTAAGCATGGGTTTCATTGTGGACACTATCTCTGCAGTTATCTGAGAAATTATTTCTGATTTGATTTTTACCAGAGCCTTATTAATTTCCTTTGTTGTTATTACTTCAGAGAGGCCATATGGGTGGCTTTTAGATTGTCCCACCTCATTGCCCCCTGGATTTGCCTTATGTAAACTAGATGTCTGGGGTTGCATCTTATTTAAGTGTGCTGTCATTTCTTTTTTTTTTTTTTTAGTTTAATTCCTGAGTTGATGTCTGTCAATTGCCTATAGTGATTTGATTTATTGCTTGTATTTAGAACCCTTAGAAAATTACTACTCCAAGGTATCTTCAGTTGTAGCTGGTTTTTGGGTTTTAAGTCTATTGAAGGTCCTACCTCTTCAATTGGTTAAGGGTGAGGAATTCCTGTATCTTTTGTGCATCCCCTGGTTCTTTGACACTGACCCACAGTATTCTCAGTCTTGGTATACAAGGGACAACAGCTCATTAGAATCATTTGTCACTTTGGCTGCAGGGGTACAATCAGCATTAACAATAGCATCAAATACAGCCTAGAAAATGACAAACTGAGCTAACCATTAATTTACCACCTTAATTGCATAAACTAGATTTGTGGTTATATATAAAAATCTAAACCAAACCAGAAAATTATATGCATTAAATAGGCCTTCAATATTTCAATTTTAGCATCAGGTAAGAAAATTTAAAATGATTTACGAGGAAAATAGAAATCGAGGTAGAGGAAGAGATTAGATGCAAGGCTGGAGGGCAAAGGAGGATCACACAAACTTTGGGAAACTGGTACAGAAGACAGAGGGAAGGAGAAAAGGAAGAAAGAAATAAAAGGAAGAATAGAACAGAACAATCACAAAGGAACTAGAAACCATGTTCATGCTCATATAAAAAGAAGATCAAACACTGAGGGAGGGAAAAAGGAACAATGATATCCACATCATTTTAGAGTTTTCCTTGCAAAATATTTTTCTTAAAGATGAAATCATTCTGTCCCATAGTCTGCCTTTTAAACAAAATAATCATGCTGGGCATTTTATTACACTGATAAATTCTTCCACAACATCATTTTAATGGCTACCTATCTTAATGCTTTTGCTTAATTCTCAATTTTTGGATACTTAAGATGTTTCCAGGGTTTTTGCCATTATAAATCAGATGGTATTAAGCACCTTTAACCATGAATCTTGGGGTCTAGTCTTATAATTGCTACATCATGGGAAGAATTCACTTAGCTATGGAGTTTACTAAATGGTCCTTTCTCCCATCTGGGGATGGTACTGCTCAATAATCAAACCTGGTCATTTAGAAGGACAGGCACAGTGACTCAGGTCACTAAGTGGCATTGGCGGTTTTCTTCACCATGCTATATCCAGCTTCCATGCAGATGCTTATCCTATATGCATCCAGTGTGGGAAGCTCCCCAGCTCCTCCCTCCTTTCACTACAGCTCTTGGAGGGGCTTCCTTGGCAGTGTAGTGAGGACAACTTCTGGAGCCAGATGTAGTTCTCTGACTTCCTCCTCACCTCTGTCATGTCACAGTCTTGAGAGCCCCTAGCCAGAAAAAAAAGATGAGCTGTTGCCAAGGAAACTCCTTCAAGTTTAGCTGTGCTCCCACGTGGATTGATTAGTTTTGCTCTGACACCAAGGGAGCTCTTAAAAGCATGAGAGTAAGGGAAAGGCTCTCATGGAAAAGGAGGACAGGGAAAAAACAAGGCTCACTTTTCTTCTACATTGTGTATGAGACTGTGTGGAAGTGGAGGAGGCAGAAGTATAAACTCACAGAGAAGCGTTAATTTAGTAGATGGACCCTGCAGAAGATGGCTCTGTAAAGCACAATTTGCCTAGCCCAACCTGTTATTGTTATTGTAATGTGAGAGGTGGTAGTCAGATGCTCCCCAGTAAAGGTAGAGCAGCCCTGCTCAAGGGAGCTGTCCTACTGTTCACTCCAGAGCTGGGGACAGCAGAACTGTGGGCTTGGATGTCCTATACCTTAAAATCCACAGAGGGGCCAGAGACTCAAGACCTGGCACAAGACCCACAAACTACACCTCAGTGTGAGACCTAGTCCCTGACCCTTGCTTCTCAAACTCATCTGCATTGGCCCAGGCAGGAATGGGGACACTGGTCATTCGTGTAGGCTCATGAGTGAGAGGCTGTGCTTTTCCCTCATCTATTCCCTTTTCCAGGCTCTCTGTTCCATAGCCAAGGGCCATGGATGCATTAGGAGACCAGTGATTCTAGATAAGGAGCCACAACCATCCTGTACCTAATTTAAGCCTCCTCATTTTGTGCTCTTTTTCTTTTTTTATTTATTATTTTTTAAAAATTAATTTTATTGGGAAAACATTGCAGTGAGACAGTTTCAAAACAGGTTGGTAGGAGAGTTACAACAATTAATACATTGCATATTGCTGTCTTCGTAGTAGTCATTCATAGCACAAGATACAGACATGATATCCTGTCTAAACACTATTAGTATAAATCTTTCTTCTTATTGAATTAAGAGAAAGTGGCTATATATCTATCCTAACTATTTTGTATATACAGATACAAAATTGTCCTTCATTTATATCTCCTTCTTTAGTTTAGTTTTGTCAGAGATTGGTATTCCATTGCCATCCAAATATTGTAGGTGCATGAATTCAGCAAAATATTTCAATATAGTCCGGTAGTCCACAGTAGTAGTGGGTTATCCACAGGACTGGCAATGTCCGAATCTGATGACTTGAGCCTTCCACAGCTCTACATATTAACATGGCTTCACTTTTCGTACCTCATTTCTACACCTTTCTGCTGGATGGTTAAGATCAAGATAAAGCAAGACCTATATATCAAGAAATGTAACTTTTGTTTCTGACAAGGTCAGTCAAGTCCCCTCAGGACTTATCCCGAAACCCTGTACTGCACTTCGTAGATCCTTTGTCACTGTCAACCATGTAGATGAGTCACAGCCATTGCTTAACCAATTTGCTCTCTGTGAAAGCCTGAGAGAATGTTTTTTCTCCATGTGACTCTCTTTAGGCATATACTACATCATCAATCACATTCCTCTGTGGCCCCATAATCTCCTTGATCAGAAAATTTGGGACTCAACTGAGTTAAATGATGTTACAGTATAGGTTTTCCTGTGTCCTGAGTCCTCACCGACCTTGAAAGGCTAGGGCCAAAAAGTTGGCTGTCCTTGCAGCCCTTCTTTTTCTCTAATTTTTGGTCTGCAAACTTAGGTTGTTAACCCTCCAGAAGAGAAGCTTATTATTACCCTACAACATATGCACTTGGGTTTAACCTCACTGTCTGTCTGAATATCAAACATTTTAGGTATAAGATGGAACATATATTTTCCATCAAGTGTTGATATGTTAAACTTTAAGTCTCTTCAAAATATGGAAAGAATTAAAAAATATTTTAAAAAATATAAATAAACAGTTACATATTTTTGTGCTCTTTTTCTTTTCTAGCTCCTTGTGCTCCTGTGATAAATCCACAAGCCCCCAACTCAGCCACAGGTTCCTCTGTCCGAGTGTGCTGGAGCTTATACGCCGATGACACAGTTGAGAGCTATCAGTTGTTCTACCGGCCAGTGCGGGACAGTCTGCCTGGGAAGGAGCAAGCAGGTGAGGCTCCACCTGGAACATGCTCATACCCATGGGAATGGCTCAGGCCCCCTAGAGGAGATGGTGAGATGGAGAAGGGAGGGGTCTACCCTACAGCTGTCATGACCTGGGTACCCCAGTGGGAGATACAGGCAGGGGAGCATGGCAGAAGGCAAGTTGGGTCCTGGCAGGGGAGGACCGTGAGGCCAAGCCAAGGTGTCTGGAGTGTATTCAGAGCCAACTGGTGAGAGTTGTCCTTGGGTTAGTGTCTGCCTGGGTAGGATGCTGGCCAGGCCAGTAATGTGCCTCTTCAGGAAGCCCAGCAGGGCTAAGTTCCAGCACATTCTGGCCTGTGGGGGGTAGGCTGGCTTATCTTACTTCATTCCTGTGCTATAAGAGAAACTGTGACAAATACCTGAGGTAAATTGATATTTAAGGAAGAATGGTTTATTTTGCCTCAGTGTTTCAGAGGACTCAGTTCTGGTTCACTGGGCTCCATTGATTTCAGACCTGTCACAAAATACTACACATGGCCATGTAAGGTAGTCAGAGAGCCTGGAGAAAGGCAGCTAGAAGGGCTGAGACCCCAATATGCCTGTACTAACTTCACTTCTCCCAGTAGACACCCTCTACTACACGTTCCCTCACCTCTCAATAGCCCCATGGGCTGAGGCCAAGCCTCCAATTTATGGACTTTTAGGGAACACTTGGGCCCCCTTTGAGTACCTGAAGGAATTGGGGTCAAGGCCTCCCTAGGTGGTCAGAGATGGGTTCCCAGAATGGGACTTGGAGAACCCCATTTTATGGATGAGGATGCTGAGATCTGTCTAGAGCAGTAATCTGTCTGTGGGAATATAGTGAACTGCGGCAGAACCAGGATGAGAATCAGAGCTGTGGGCTCCTTGCCCAGGGAGCTGTTATGGCACCAGGCCCCGAAGGTGGGGTGGGTGAGGCCAGTGTCCCACCCAAGGCTAGGAAAGAAGGCAGTTCTGGGGAAAGGAAGAGCTGATTTGCTGCAGCCTTTGGCAGGAGTCAGGCCTGTTGGCACTTCTTGTGGACACAAGTGCCATGGTGTTGGGCTGTGTTGTGGCCATCCATGGGGTCTCTGAAGTGGGCATGTTAGAATGGAGCTGACATCAGAGGGTGGATTAGTGAACCTTGTAAGATCATGGAATAGTCAGAGTTATATTAATTTTTGCTGCATAACAGAACCTCCCCAACGTAGTGGCTTAAAAGAAATTTATTTTTTCTTATAATGCTATGGACTGGTTGGGCAATTCTTATCTGAGCCACGTTGGTTAGGGCTAGGTGGTCCAGGATGGCCTCACTCATCTACTGCCCTAGCTGGGATGGCCAGAGCCACTTGGGCGTGGGGGCCTCCTGTGTGTGTCCACATCCCTGAAGGCTGGCTCTGGCCTGCTCATGTGTGGTAGCAGTGTGACTAGCATCCAAGAGTTCAAGGCCCTGTGCCCTGACCTTCCCAAGCCTCTGTCTGCATCCTGTCATTGCCGCATGGTGCCAAGCAAGTCACACAAGTAGGCCCAGCTTCAAAGAATGGCAAGAAAGAATCTGTTTTGGAAGGTGCTACTGGGGGTCAAACCCAGGGTGCTTTATCACTGAGCTATATCCTCAGATTTTTTTTTTTTTTTAAAGACAGGTTCTTACTAAGTTGCTTGGGCTGGACTCAAGCTCACAATCCTGCATCAGCCTCCCCAGCAGCTCCGATTACAGGAGTATGGCTCCATGCCTGACTGAGACAGAGCTCCTTAGTAGAAAGAACAGCGAAGTCACACTGCCAATGAGTGTGCATAAAGGGAGGAATCTGCACCCAGTTTTTCCATCAACTATAGTGGGATTCAGCACAAAGAATTTGCAGTCACTTGACCTATTCTAAGGGTTGAATTCTTGTCTTTTTTCTCCTCTAGAGCTTACGGTGACTGTCAAAGAAACATACTGTTCAGTGATGAACCTTGAACCAAATACCCAGTATGAATTCTGGGTCATAGCTCAGAACAGGGCTGGCCCCAGTCCCTCAAGCGAGCGTGCAGTATACATGACAGGTAATGGGGTCACTGTTTCCTGTCACAGGGCTTCCATTCAAGGGGACACCAGAGTTACAAGTTTGGGACATGGCAGGGCCCTTGATGTTATTTGCAAGGACAGAAAGAGCCATATGACTCTTTTCTGTTCCATTAATACATTGGATTGACACGCTTAGTATGGCAGGGACATTTTCTCATGGTTGGTGTCAAAATATCAAGCACCATATTCGATCACATGGCACTGGAACCTCCAGGACTTGGGAGAAATTCCCTGCTGTTCTTCATGGCACTGAATCTTTTACATGGGAGGACAGGGTGCTTGTGATGTTTGTCCATGGCTGTGAATGCAATGGCGGGAAGTGAACAGGACAGTTATTCACCCCTTTCCCTGTGTTTAGCCCCCTCTGCCCCTATTATAAAAATGGAGGCGATAAGGAGCTGCGAAGAGGCCGTGCTCATCTGCTGGGAGTCTGGGAACTTGAATCCCGTGGACTCCTACACCGTGGAGCTGACCCAGGCAGAGGCACCGGCAGCCTCAGGGGTCACCGAGTGAGTCACACGGGCATGTGCTGGGTGCTTGGAAATGAGGTATGGAGAGGTCAGAATCTGACACACAGAAAATCTTAGTTATAGGGTACTTATTCTTCACAAGAAGCAGCTACAATGCCATTATCAAAGGCGAAAGGATATCAAGAGTATAAGTGGTTAACACCTCATGTTTGCTTTTTTACAAAGCCAGATTAAAGATTCCATTTATTCAATCAATAAGTGTCCACAGACTCATCAAAGCTGGCAAACCTTTTAAAGCTCTCAGTGATATAGCCCGCTGCGCATGCATATCATAGGTTCGCTGGTACTAGACTTGTGGTGCCAAGTCTGGGCGCTGTGGGCCTGGGGAATAGATTGACACATCTCTTGCCCTGATGAAGATGACAGACAAATGGGGAAACAGCCAAAAATAAAAAATTAAAACTAAGAAAACAGCAATGTGTGAAATGCACCATGCTGTGGGGCCCTAAAGTGCTAGGAAGGAAGAAGAGATAAGAGTGAGCTAGGGGACAGAGTGGAGCAGACCCTGAAGGGGGGCGGGGAGCAAGTGAGCCTGAAAGCTATGGATGTGGGAGCCACCAGGAGGGGCCACAGGGACATCGGCTGGGCAGAGGTGAGTTGGCTACAGTGGAGGCATGAAGGGACCGACCTGGCTGACGTTCAGGGAAGAAAGGAAGGAAGAGAGACTGCAGCTCAGCACTCAAAGAATGCTGTCTGCTACCAAAGGCCATAGTGGCTCAGGCTCACCTCGTGGAAAAAGTGAGGAAGGTACACAGGTGATGAAGGCTGGGTGCAGGAACCACCAGGGTCTGCATATCTGACAGCCTGCAGCTGTGGCAGTGGAAGAATGGGGCTGTTCCTCTGCTTACAGCAGGCTGTGCAGAAGTCTGTGGAGGTTAACACCCCCAGGCCCTCCAGCTCTTGTCACAGAAACATACTGAGAATTCTGAATGTGCCATGGTCAGTGGTCCTCAGGTCCTGCCCTTGAGCACTTTATGACCCTCTAGGCCAGATGTAGACATTGCATTTGGCCTTCACTGAGCAAAGTACTAGGTACCTGAGAATCCATGGGAAGCTCCAGAGGGAGACAGCCATGCACCCCAGAGAAAGGTGGAGGGGAGGCTGAGGACAGGGACTGTGACTGGTTTTCAGACAATGCCAGCTTTGGAAGCCATGGCCAGGCCTGGGCCCAGGCACCGTGGCCCTATGCTGACCATGGCTCCATTTCCCTGCCCAGGTCCGTGGTGGGCATCCCAACCTGCGAGTCGCTGATACAGCTGCAGCCCGGGCAGAGCTACACCATCTGTGTGCGGGCCCTCAACATGGGAGGCCCCAGTGCCAGGAGCGCCCCTGCTACAGTCCGTACCACAGGTCTGGGCCCTGGGCTGTGGGGTGGTACCCTATGGGTCTCGGTAGCCACTTGGTGACAGACTCCATGTTGCTGTGATGTCACCAGACAGCATGCATAGGTACACAGGGAAGACCTGGCAGGGCTCCTGGGAGACCAAAGTCCTGTGGTCTGCTCTTACAGATGGAGAGAATGAAGACCCAAGTCATAGCAGTTGGCAGCTGAGCAGTTTTGCTCTAGGTCCTTCAGGTGGGCCAGAGGCTCAGACACTGGATCTGGGCAGCCTAGTACCCTGTATCTCACCCAGGCTGAGACCCTCCCTGGGACAGGGTCCTGATCAAATTCCCAGAAGAGCCACTGGCCTCAGCTCACCTCCTAGCCCCAAGCCCCATCTCTTGTGTGCCTGGGGCTCTCTGTCAGAGAGCAGTCACATCTCACTTTCGAGTCTTGAGTCAGCAAGGACCTCGCTGGTGACATCCTCCCATCTCCTGTCACCCTGGCCCTGCTCACTGAGCTGTGCCAAGGCCAGGCAGCTCTGTTACACCTCATGGCACACACCAGCTGGACTTGTGTGTGGGTGACATGAACACAGCTGGCCCAGCCCTTAGGAACAGCATGCCCACTGTGGGGAACTTTTTCTGAGAGATGCTGTGTCACTGTGTCCTCCTTTTCAAGGGCAGCAGGACAGGGCCATGACCAACCCCCATTTTTGTTCCTCCCACATAGCCAGGCAGGAAGTCCAGCGGCTACTCACAGCCATAGAGCTGGAATGACTGCCCCAAGCAGAGCTTGGGATTTTTTGGTCTTGTGCTGGGGCCTTGCTTCAGTTGTCTGCAGTTCTAGCTTTTTGTGCTGGCTTGTTTTGACATACCCAATTCCAGCTGTTTCAATAAAAGAAAATAGAGAAGAAAAGGTGTAGCCAACCCTTGATTATTTGATCACCTTGGAATTCATCTGTTCAAATATTTTTTATGTGCATGGATAGCCTAGGAAAATGAACCCAGGGCCTTTGACTAAACTACATCCCCAGCTCTTTTATTTTTTATTTTGAGACAGTATCAATAAATTGCTCAGGTTGGACTTGAACTTACAATCATCCTGCCTCAGTCTCCCCTAGAGAAGATAATTTTTAAGATTATATATATATATATATATATATATATATATATAAATGATCTCTGCTTGAGAAGAGCAAGGGTAGTAGGGGCCACTCCCTGTTAGTTGTGCCTCCCTTTCAACAGTCAGCAAATAAAGTTCCTATCAGCAAGGGTTGCAAAAACAATTGTGAGCAGTTTGTTGGTGATGCTCGAACTAAAGTTGGAGACATTAAAAAGTGACAGAATGGGAGATGAGGAAAAAAGAATTGGTCTCAGGGACAGTAATAGAGCAGGAGTTCCTTAGTAATGGCTTTTTAAAAAATGATTTTTATTAGATCTGCACAACTACTGGATCAGCTCTGTTTAGGTCATGATCTGGGGATGACTCATCTCTGTCCTTCTCCCCCACTGCCCTAACTGCAAGGCTGATGTTGAATTTTTGCTAACCTTTGTCAAATGGTCATTACAAATCCCCAGGACTCCTATATTCCTTAGCAAGCAAGTTAGAAATTCTTGTCTGGACTCAGGCATTTCCAACCCAGATGCAGGGGCACAGGCACTAGAATTGCAAGACTATGGGGTTCAAATTTGAGTTGATCATTTGCCAGCAGACTTCTTACCCATCCACACCTGTTTCCCTGTCTACTAATGGAGATGGTAACACCTGTTTCTATGGGTGTTAATGAGGCCTGAAGGGGTCAGATGTGCAAACAGCTTCACTCAGTGCAAGGCCCAGCACCTTCCAGCGAAGCTGGTCCACAGGAGGCTGGGACTCCAAGGGGTTCTTGGGACATTGCACCCACATGTGGGGCCCCTCTGCAGCAGTGAGGGAACTGTCCAGGCATACTGTGTGTATTCCCTGCCCCACAGGAAGCTACTTTCCCCTGAACAAGGCCACCTGCCACCCCTGGCTGACCATTTCAGAAGATGGGTTTACAGTGACCCGAAGTGAAAAGAAAAGCCTCACCCGGGACCTGCTGCCCCACCAGACCCGGTTCACCAGGTACTTCACTCCTGCTCCACAAGATGTTCTTGGAACTGCTCTGGTGACCTTACCGGGTCAGGGAGTGGGATTATGAAGAATAGAGGCAGCCTCCCAGTGGGAAAGGAAATCCCAGAAATGGGGGGGGGGACGTGAGCCTGGTGGGGAAGGGTGGCCCCTGAGGACCCTGTGGGGTATGGGGTCAGGATAGAAAGACAGAAAGACTCAGTCCCCTGCTGCTGAGCCCAGGTCCCAGGGCCCTTTCCCATACTGTGACACCTTGCAGAGAAGCCCTGGGTGGAGAAACAGAGCAAGCCCGTCCTTAGGGTGTGGCCTGAGGGAGGGGCAGCCCTACCTGCTGCAAGCTCTCTACCTGCTTGTCCAGAGCCTGGCACTTCATGTTAAGGGGGCTTATTGGTGCTATCCTTCTTTCTCCAAAGGTGTACAAGACTTAAAAAGCAACGCACTAAGAAAAAAGTCAAAGCAATGAAATAAAGAGTGGTAGGGCTAACTCAGTTTCCAGGATTAAACAGTAAATATGCTGGGAGGTAGGCCAAAGGCGTCTTTGGTAGGAGGGTGGTAGACCTTCCAAGGAAGAAAAATGTTTCTCACCTGAGGCCTAGAAGAGCCCCTGGTGGGAACTGAGTCAAGGCCCCCTTGCCTGGGTCTTGGGCCTTCCCTCAGCTGGCTCTTCCTCTGCCTCTGCTCCTGGCTGCCTTTCTGCTGCCTGTGAGAGTGTTCCTGTGAAACAGTGAAACTGCAGAGTATGGAGGAAAGCAGTTTTATCCTTCCATTCCACCACCATTCAACCTGCAGGCTAGAGAGGAGTGACAGGCATCTGGGTCCTGGCTTACAGGCAGTGACATGCTGCTACCGCCGACTCAGGGTGTTGCTGTGGCTCCTGAGCAGAGAGAGGCACCCATGGATTCAGCAGAGCTAACACACAATACCCTGAGGTGGGATGGCCTTGCATAGAAGGCAGCGGGGAGGGGTGGGCACTGCAACCTTGTCCAGCAGTGTGTTCACAGAGCTTTATATGGCATCTCTGATCCAGATATCACAATAGCCAGGGAAGCCCAGACATGCATCAATCCCAGTAACAGGTGAGGAAACTGAAGCATAGTAAAGTTAGGGAGCTTGGTCTTGGCCAAAGCCTTGTGCAGCAGGGGATTGCTGCTGGGGATTGAACCCAGGGCCTTTGTTGCACTGAACATGCCCAGCACCTTTACTTGAACTTGAGATCCTTCTGCCTCAGTATTCCAAAGTTCTGGGATCACAGATTTGTGGCCACTGTGTTGGAAATTTTTTTTTTCTTGCACCAGAGATTGAACTCAGGACCTTGCACTTGCCAGGCAGGTGCTTATGCTGCTAAGCTATCTCTCCAGCCATCACATTGGAATTCTTAGTCTTTTTCTTAGGAGACCTTTTTATGTAGCAGTACTGGGGATTGAATCCAGGACCTTCAATGAGCTATATTCCCAGTCCCTTTTTATTTCTGAGACAAGGTCTCACTAAATTTTAGTTGCCCAGATGGAGCTGGAACTTGGAAGTTCTTTTGCCTCAGCCTCCCTCAGGGTTGGGATCTAAGTGTTCACCGTCATACCCAGCAATAAGGGCAAACTATGAGTTTAGGATTAAACTGGAAACTCAGTTTGTGGTTATTACCTTATTTCTGTTTTCTGCCTTGGGTTTCTGGGTACTGCATGTGTTAATCAAAATAAAGAAACCCTGAAAAGTGTAGGCTCTCCTCTTCAGCCAAAGACAAACTTCTGTAGCTAGGTGAGGGGCTTGGGCTAGTGATGTGATTGTCTCCACTGGGAATGTTGTGGACAGCATAAGTGGTGATGTGGCTCTGGAGGAGCAGCTAACACATAGCCCTCTTCTAATGCTTTACTGGCTCATTCAGAGTTTGGAGTTTTGCATGCTGAGATAAATTTTGAATGATAGCTACACAAATGTCTCCAGCAATGTTGGGGCTATGTAAAGTCAGGCTACCAGAGGAGTCCCCTGAATGTAGATCATTCACTTTGGAAATACTGATGTGACCCGGATTGGGATGAAAACCTCCCTTTGTTTTAGAACATAACTTTATGGGCAGTGGAACTTGGAGGTACATTTTGATGATTTGAAAGTGCATTTTCGCCTGTCTTGGCTCAGCCTCTGAATTTGGCATTTGCCTGGAGCCATTCCTGATATGAGGGTCAAGGACAGTCAAGGGCCCTCCAAGCTTGTTTTGTACTATAGGCAAGTGCACGCCATTCATAACCTTCCAGCACATGTTTCACTTGACTTGTGAATCACACTTCTATTACTACTAGAAAAGCCCCAACCAGTAAGAGTAATGAGGGTGTTCGGTGGCCCAGCATCTGTCTCCTCAACCATGACTGGGCAACATAATACTCCTCTTCCAGTCTTCAGTCACATCCCAGGGAACCATGAGAGCTCTGGGTACTTTACAGGTGAGGTGTTCCTGCCTCCATGTTGCCGACCCTCAGCAGTTGACATCCCTCACCTGCATGGCGTGGCTGAGGACACCCCAAATCAGACATGCTTCTGCTTTCTAAACCAGATGTGTTGCTGTCATGGGAAATCTAATTCCAGTCCGAGGACGCCATTACTGGGAGGTGGAGGTGGATGAGCATTTGGACTACACAGTTGGTGTGGCCTTTGAAGATGTCCCTAAGCAGGAGGACCTGGGCGCAAACAGCCTCTCCTGGTGCATGAGGCACACATTCACCTCATCAAGGTAAAACAAAAATCTCAGTACCCAAGACTAAAACTTGAAAGGTTTGAGTGTATGTTGGGTGGGGGTGGGGGGGCCAAGTTCTACATCTTGTGTTATAAAATATTCCTGGGGATTTCAGAAGCTGTAGTTACCTACTTTCTTTAAAGTCTAACCAAGAGGAAGAGCAGCTTTTGACATAGAGCTAAAACCAGCGGCGGTTTCACTGGGCACCACCAGTCTAACGCATTATCTCACTTCGCACAGTTGTAGGACTGTGTCGCAGCATGAGCAGTGATCACTCACCCATGTGGACTCAGAACTGGATTCAAACCCAGGCAGTCCAGCTCCACAGACTGCATTCTTCTCCACTAAATGGTGGAGTTTTCATTTATACTTACTTTCAGTGTTAAGTGAATATAGTTTGATTTGAAACCCCAATTCTATCTTTTTTAAGTCAATGTAAGTGAAGAGCTGGCTTGCTCTCCCACGTGCAGGTCCTGTTCCCCGTGTTCATCCGTGTTGGGCCAGTGTGTGGCTGGCTGTTGGCAGCAGGGCTAGGACAGGCCTATGGCTTTGGTTTCAGCAGCCACTGTGCAAAGCACACAGGACAATTTGCCTGCCTGAAGGATGCCCCATGTGAATTGAAGATTAAGATCTGGACAGCTCAGGGTACCTGTGCAGAGTCCACACCAAAAGGCCCACTGTGTCACACAGAAGACCTCCCTCCTTCAAGTTCTTTGTTACCAAGAGTCTACACAGTAGAGCCTTGAAACCTAAAGGCTTCCAATGTGTTCTGTTTCTATAGTAACTTTGATGAAATATCAGCTCATGATTCTACTCACATTTCTTAGGTTAAGAGGTTGCTCAAGAACAATGTTTAAAAATATTTCTTAGACCAAAAGTTGGAAGAAATTCTATAGCTTTGGAAATGGCCACACTGGTAGTCATTTAATAAAGAAAATAACAAAATCATAGAAATATAAATATGAAATGTTCTATGCATAGCTCATTTACAGAATTTTTGAAGTTTTATTGTATCAACATCTGATTTTCAGGCATAAGTATGAATTTCTGCACAACAGGACCACCCCAGATATAAGGATAAGTGTTCCTCCTAAGAAGATCGGTGTCCTATTAGACTATGAGAATTCAAAGTTGTCGTTTTTCAACGTGGACATTGCTCAGCATCTATACACATTCAGTTGTCAGCTTCACCAACTTGTGCACCCCTGTTTTTCTCTGGAAAAGCCTGGATGTCTGAAGATACACAATGGTGTTTCAATGCCGACACATGCCACTTTCTATTAGGCCCTTTGCACATCTTTTCCTTTCTTGCTTCTGTTCCTCAACCACTTGTGCCTCAGCCAGCTGAACCTAGCATTCAGGCCCCATGTCTCCAGCATCATTTGTGGCTCTGACAGTGACCTGACAAGCGACATGGTAGGCACTGCTGCCTGGGTGACACTAGGATAGTCCTCAGCAGGCTGAGCTGTAAAATGAAGGAAATGAAGGATCCAAGTGAACTCGGGGCCCTCTCAAGGGCTCAAACTGCATTTATCATATCAGTAGAACATTGTGTCTTTGAGGCTTCTGGAGCTTGGGGCAAGTCAGTAAAGTTTTAAAGCTTTAGCAGCCACTGTGCATTCACATTGCATCAGTCACCAAGAACAGACCTGGGAACGCGAGGCTGCCTTTCCGCATCTCCGACCTGCTTCACAAAGGTTCACTGGCCACTTGGTAACCCCTTCCCTTCACCAAGCTCGTGCCTCTCCAACTTTGAGATCAACTGTCACACACTTTCATGAAGGCAGGGACAGTGTCTGATTCATCACTTGCACCGCAAAGGCCAACACACAATGGGATGTTTGTCAAGTATCTTCTTTCAACCGCTACTTTCTGGCCTTGCTGCTATTCGTGTGAGCCATGCACGTGCTTTCAAAATCTCCAGCCAAGGGTCTATAGCTGGCAGAGGACACAGACAACTGAAGAGGAAAGGGGGGCACCTGGGGAACATGGTGCACTCCTTACGGCTGTTGCAGACACACACCACAACCTACACTTCAACACGGGGCTTCTAGTGTGTGTGCATGGTGGGGGTGGGGGTGGGGTATACAGCGCTCCTGCAACATGAAGAGCCAGATTTGAAATCAGAAGCCCTCGATTTGACAACTTTGTCTTAGGCCATGAAAAAGTCACCTTATTTTCCAGCCTTTCTGTTTTCCTTCAAACCAAGGGAAATGTAGTACTAGTTGTCTGATAAGAGTTGGGAGACTTCATGACAAACCTTAGAGGCCCTGACAGTACACAGCACATAGCAGATGTACAATTTGTTCAATCATCCACCCACCGAGGGGCAAGGCTGTGTAATGGTGAGCAGTGGTCTCTGGCGAGCAGCTCTTGGGGAGCCAACCTCACAACCTGTGCTATCCAGTGACCTCAGACCCAACTACAAGCTGGCTTCCTGGTTTTCCAGCTCCCCACCCTGGCTGCCAGGTAAGCTTTGCACATAGCATGGCCAAAGCTAAAGCAAGCTGCAGAAAAAGAAGTGCACTTGTGGTAGCAATTAGCACCAGAGACAATTTAGCGTCCTGGGCCACAGATGCCTTTCTAAACCCGACACACCCTAAGCTCATCATCAGGGTTTTTTTAGGTGAAAAAATCTTTTTACTTTAAACTCAAGTTTTCCAGTACACTCAAAGTCTGATCCATGGGTCACCTCTCATCTTTTGTGAAACTGTCAATTTGTGTGAACTGCAGCTCAGATTCCCAAATTAAGAACTGACCTTGACAGTGTACTAACTTGTTATACACATACATACACACACAGCACACACACACACACACACACACACACACACACACACAGCTGCCATGACAAGCTGGATCACCCTCCCTGAAATAAGGTGCAGCAGAGGTGAGTACAGAAATGGCTCAGTTGTAAACAATTAACATATACATATGTACATACTCAAAAATGTTCCCAACTATTAAAATAGAAGCTAGGAAAAAGGAAATAAGGTATTGCATTATGCCAGGTATAAATGCAGGGTTCAAGCAGGCTTTATGGAATGCTTCACAAATAATATGAACATAGAGAAAAGCTCAACACTTGCCTGGGTCTTAATAAATATTGATTAGACAAAAAATAAACTGTCTGGAATTATCTTTAACATTTTAAAATCACTTAAACAAGGGAAAGCACCAACTTCAAGAATCAAAATTTTTTAGCATAATGAACCTTTTATTTAAACATCTTTCTCAACTTCTACAGGAAAATGATGTCTAGAACAAAACTAAACATAACTCATTTTTTTACATGATTGCAGTTCCTTAAAATACAATAAACAATCTGCTAAAACTAAGTTTCAATACAGGGCAAGCTTTACCTTGAGGCCACGTGCACCTGCAACCTGCTGATAAATCTGTTAAAAACAAAACAGAAAAAGATTTTTTAAAAATTAGACTATTGATGCCACAATGCGTGAGACCAGGCAGTTAAAACAAACAACCAAATCTGTTCTCCCCTTAGCTGTGTTTGTAGCACTTCATAACTCCTGAGCAAGTTAGTACATACAGTTTGGCTTTCCCACCTTAACACAGGGCAAAGAGAATATGTAGAATGTGGGTAAAACTAGCAAGGGTTTAGTAATAAAAATACTCAGTATTTAGAGCATCCTACTTAAACTTGGAAAATTCATTAGCAACTTAGGACATCAAATGACATTGGTTTCTGACAAAACTCAAAACTGCTTTTGAGTTTTAAAAGTATATGTATAGTAACAACTGGCTTCCTACTGATTCAAATCATATAGCATCACTTACACACATCTGATAAAAATTTATTTCTAAGGCATGTATTGGGTCATCAGCGTGGAGCAGAACAAATGCAGGGGTGGCAGGGCCACCTCAGTACTCCTCATCCTCTAAAGTGTGTAAAGATCATGATCCTCAACTCACATGAGAGGCTGCTGCAGCGCGATTCACCATGACATGGCATTCTGTGACCGTACTGACTCTATCCAATGAAGTTTGGCCACCAGAAAACTTTCTGGGCTCTAGGAAGCTGCACTGCAGGAAAATCCTCTCCTGACTTAGCAAGTCACTTGTCCAGCTTCTCATCACCTTCCTACCAACTAGCAGAGTAAGATTCTTGTGTTTACTACACCTTTCTTTTACCTTTCTCTTCTATACACTTACTATTCTTATTCTCTATAGTAAGACCACGGAAAGCATCTAAGTGTTGTTGGTAGATAAGTAGGTCTTGGATTTCTTTTGCAAACAAGACCTGTTCTATCTACCTTTTCATTTAGGAGGCTAAATGCAGAGTCAGCTTGACTTCAAGGACTCTGTTTTCTTAGTCTCCAAAAAAACATAGCCAGGTCCAGCTTTAAAGCACTGTTCTTTAACATGTCATGATGTTAAAAGAAAGACAATTTGAAACTGCAAGCTTGGGAGAGCTGAAGTGTCCACATGTGCCTCCTTTATTGCATCCAATGGCTAATTAAGCTAAATACAAGATGACATATCATTTGGAAAAAAGACCCTGGCCAGGCAGCATCTATCCCGTCACCAGAAGTATCCCGGCAGGAGTGATTCTGACCTGGGCCCCACTGCCCTCAAGACAGTCATGGCTCTGGGAGAAGCGCTCCTGCATGGGTGCCAGGTGTCAAGTGGACCATGCCCCTGTACTTCCCTGCTTGTTTTCTGCACTACCAATCCCAGAAAATAATTAGGTCCAACTCCCTGATGGGTTGCTTATTCTTCATTTTCCCACACTCTGACAGAATCAGGGTTTTCTGCTCTGGTTGAATTAAATGATCATTTATTTGAACTGTAAAAAATTAAAAATCTTACAGCAGATTCAAACAACATGCAAATGTTCTTGTAGTGTGAACTTAGACCCTAATTTTCCTTTCTCTCCCATTATCATTCTCAAGCCACAGAATGTGTCTCAGAAAGGGTTTAAAAGGATTTCCTTCAATTCAAACAAACTAAACTGGAGATACAAATACAATCCATTCACTGGAAAAGTGACCATCAGACCCAAGGTTTCCTAGTGCTTTTTTAAAAAATTTTATTTATTTATTTATGTGTGTGTGTGTGTGTGTGTGTGTGGCCAGCTCAGCCCACCAGGGGGCGGGGCTGGCTGGCATGTGGTGCTGGGGGATTGAACCGCGGTCCCTGTGCTTTGCTAAGCTTGTTCTAAGTAGGTGCTTTAGACCACTGAGCCATCTCACCAGCCCATCCTAGTGCTTTAATAAAGCAGAAACATAGTTTTGAGAGATGGATTTACTGGACATATACATTACTTCTTGGGAAACTGGTTTATTATTCTGCCACCCAGAAAGATTCCTACCTTCCTACCTCCTTCCACATCCCAACATCTATCAAAGCGTGTATGGGGTAAGGGTTGCCAGTATCTAGAAGTAAGAGACTCTGGAAAAACATATTGGGGCCAGGGAGATGGCTCAGTGCTTCCCTGGCAAGCACAAGGGCCTGAGTTCAATCCTCGGTTCTGCCAAAAAAAAAAAAGAAAGAAAAGAAAAAAGAAAAACATATAAACTACCCATTACTGTCCTTTGTACCATCTACAATCTATGAAAACAGCCCCTAGTTGAACTCCCTTTTGTTGACTACCTAATGTCCACACAGCTCAAAACACACCTCCAAAAGGCACTGCCTAATTCCTCCCTCTCTGAGGACCGCCACATACTTACCTACTCTAGAATCCTTAAGTGGCTACCCTGTAACCACTGACTTGTGTCTGTTCCATTTGACTATAAGCAGATCAAAGGCAGGACTGTGCCTTCATAATCTCTGAATAATCGAAATAGGAACAACTACTTTCTGCTTCGAGGGAGCACACATACCTGAAGAGACAAACAAGACATCCAATTAGCTTCCAAATCAAAGGAAAAGCCTCTTCACTAGCAAGCAAAGCAGTTACATTTCTGTATACTTGTGGGGATGAAGGCATAGGTTAAAAATATGGACCAGGGATTTTCAGCCTTCCTTTGTCCCAGTGTACCCAAATGATCTGTCATAGCTTCATCACTAATAACATATGGTGGTGACTTCTAATCTGGGAAGAACAGGAAAGGGTGTTGAATTTGGGTACACCAAATATCTTGTGGCTTAGAATGTCCTTCCCATAAAAAAAATAAAAAAAAAATAAAAATAAAGAATGTCCTTCCCATAACTGAAAAAAGGGGACACATTTAATATTTATTGTAGTTCTGATTATTTCTAAGATGGCCAACATGTATTTTAAATGTTCTAAACCATGCATTTGCTTCAAGGGTAAACACATATCTGTTTTAGTAATCCCCAAGCCTTCTTGGATAAAGCTATGTAACAAGTAATCAAAGTTCACCTTCACATTTTGTTACTGCACACATACTGCTAAATGGGAATAACAGAAGCAACATTCTCGACTTGCAGTGTCAAAAAGGTAGAAGACTGACAGTTCTGTTTACATACGCCGACTTTGCCTTTGATGGATTCATCCTGTATCTAAATGTACATCACCACCCCCTTCACTTCTCACCGCTCCAATCTCCGTCGCCAAAAGGCGAATTGTTTAGTAATCTAGAGTGTGGTACAAAGAAAAATATTTCGAGAGGGAAACAAAGGGACTGCGCTTTCCGTTTCAGCTGTCTCTAACAAACTGTGTTTCTCCACCTGTCTCCTCTAGCTCTGCTTCAGCTTAACTTGAAGCGCAGGAGGTGCCCGAAATAGCTTTGTTCCCGACTACCAAACGAATTTGCAGGAAGAATCAAAAAACATAAAAACAGCTTTCTCAAGGGTCGGTGGTGGTGCCCACCTGTAATCACAGCGCTGGGGAGGCTGAAAACAAGAGGATCACTACGGGTCCGAGCTGCGTAGTGCGACCCTGTACCAAATCCATAAGAAACAAAACTACTAACTTTGTGCGTGTTTAAAAGTAATGAAACAGACTGCTGCCTCAGCCAGGAGTTACAGACTCACAATGCCTGAGTTTGTACCGGCCCGTCCGCATGGTCTATGTGAAAACCGAGTCTTCTTAAACGTCACTTTGTGTGGGTGCGTACTCCTCCCTTTCGCATCCTCACCAAAGCTCCTTGAGCTACCAACCTCATTTTTCAAGAGAGGTGGAGAAAGAAAAGCACAGTGAACCAGAAATGACACTCAGGTCCACGGCAGCGCTCACCCTGCAACAGGTCCTCTGACGGAGGGACATGTCACCTCTACTCTCGCTCTCCGCCACATCCCCTAAAACCTGGTACACCAGCCTGCCTCCTACGACGCTGCTGTCACTAGCCATCCCCACCCCATCCCACCCCGCGGGCGATCAGAGACTGGGCGATCAGAGACTGCCCTAGATCCACAAGACAGACATTACCACCTACTCCGTACCCAATCTTCATCTCAACTCTCCTTTCCTTCCGGGGAGGGAAGGGTCCCCTTCCGGTTTCCTGGACGTGAGCCGGAAGTCCCGCCCCGCGCGCTCTGCGCGAGCGCGGAAGGAATCATCTGGTGTGTTCCCTGCGAATGCTGTACGGGATTCAGAGCTAACCGGGCGGTGCGAAAGCTTCTCGCTTTCGCGGGGTCCACACTATAAGGAGTGGAGAGAGGGCCAGCAGTGTTCATCGAGTCGCGGCACGCTGTGTGAGATTCGCATCTCCTTCCGTCCCGGCGGGTGTGGTCTGGGAACTGAGCCTCCCTCTCCTCTGTGGTGCTCCTTTCCCGCCTGTTCCGCCCGCTCCTTATATTTCGTTTTTTACTGTTTTTCTTTGTAGCCCGGTACCCTGCCGTAATGATGGACCCATTTTGTTGGCATTAGCTTTACGTCTCCTCAGAGAGAAGCTTGTGAGTGTCTGGGAATCTCCCGCTCTCATGGAGGGGACGTGTGCGACTCTTGTGGGCGCGCACTCTCGGGCTAGGAAGCGAGGAAGTTAAAATTGCCTTTCTGTTCGTTTTCTGGGGGAGCCAGAAGGGACTACCGCAGCCTAGGTGGCTTAAAGCGATAGATACTATTGTCTCACTTTCTGAAGTCAAGGTCCATACTTACTATGAGGTTGACAGGACTCCTTTGACCCTTCCTAGCTTCTGAGTGGTGGCCAGCAGTCACCTGTGTTCTTTGACTGACAGTGGCCTTGTTCCACTCATCGAACGCCGTTCTTACTGTCCTGATTTCAAGTCCCTTATGAAGACATCAGTCCTATTAGGTAAAAGGCCCACCATACTCCAGTATGACCTAGTCATAACTACTACTTACATGGGCAACGACCATCTTTCCAAATAAGATCACTTTATGAGGTTCTAGGAAACATGAATTTTGGGGGTGTCCAAGTTCTTAAGAAATAGGTCAGTGATGGATGCTGTGACACATGTCTGTAATCCCAGTACTCTGGGAGGCTCTCCGCAAATTCAAAGCCGGGCTGGATTACATGGAGGGAGGTGGAGACCAAAACCTGACAACAATGAGCTATATCAAAATATACCGTGTACAAGTACAAATTCCCTGTGATATGATCTGTATATCCAGCAAACTTAATAACAAGTAGTACAAGTTAAGTTAATTCAAATGTCCTTCATTTGGTTCTAAGAAATGTTCACAGACATTTGGGCTTTTTTTTTTTTTTTTTTTTGTACAGGGGATTGAACTCAGGACCCTGTGCTTGGCAGGCAAACACTTATTCTACTGAGCTATCTCCCAGGCTCCCTTTTGGCCTATTTGAAAGAAAGATTCGATTTGGATATGCCATCACAGACTCATAAAAAGCATTCTAGGCAAAAGAACTCAGGCAACAAAGCACCAGTTAAACTATGAAATAAATTAGGTTAAAGCAGGAAGGATCTTAAATACAAGCTAAGTAGTTAGATTTATTCTGCAAATCATAGTTTCAGCAGAATTTTGATTTGAAGACTAATTTGATAGTTTAAGTCAAACCTGTTTCATATTTCTTATTCCAGTTTAAGAAGATGTAAGTCCTATTCTATGGATATAACCTGTGTTTTTGTTTTTTGCCCTTGTGTCCACTGCTGTCTTATACCTGGAATGCTGCCATCAAGATGCCCAGTTTGCTTTCTTTTTCTTATTTTGGTACTGGGCATCAAACTCAGGGCCTTGTGCTTACCAGACAGGTGCTGTGCCCCTGGCCCTAGCTGCCCAGTTTTCACTTACCCATTTTCCTCATGGGTATTAAACCTGAGGCAGGATGGAAGGTTCACCTCATTACACTAGTATCCCCCTAGGACCAAAAATTGACAGTGATAGCAAAAGGAGAGAAGACTATAGGTAAAACTCATATTTATGTCAAGCTCTAGAAATATTAGCAAATTCAGTCCAACGCTTCAGAACAACAAGAGTGTCCCAGAAATGATTTAACATTAGAAAACCTGTTACTCTAAGTCATTGTATTACTTAGAGGCTTATTACTATACATCTCAATGGATAACACATTTTTTTTTCAAAAACAAAGAAAAACAGCAAAATGGGACTAGATAAATAGCAATTTGACAAAAGACATCAGAAATCTTTAATAAATAGCATATTTAATGATAAAAGCTTTCCCACTTTTTCAGAGAAAAAGATGAATAACTACATTCAACATGGTAGATTTTTCTACCCAATGCAATAAATAAAACAAAAAAATGGAAAAAGTATTAGAAAAGGAAGACATAAAAGTAACCTTTTTAGGATATGTGATTTTCTTATTGAAAATTACAATGAATGACAGACTATTAGATGATGCAACAAGGTGGCCAAATAAATTACTATGTGAAACATTTGTCTGGAACACCAGTGTAGGAACTCATCCAGAGATCCCAGTAGGAAGCACCCATGAAAACATTGAATGAAAGACATATGACTTACAGGAAAATAGGAAATAGTGTTGAAAGACATTAAAGACTTAAGTAAATGTAGAGTTCATGTTCCAGGATGGAAAGAGTCAATGTTTTAAAGATACAATCTACTGCAAATTAATAAACAGTTTGGGTATTATGCTTATTAAAAGTATGCTTGACTGCCAGGCTTGGTAGTTCAATGCCTGTAATCTAGCACTGGGGAGGCTGAGGCAGGAGGATTGTTGGAAGAAACCAGCCTGTACTACAAAGTGAGTTCAAAGCCAGCCTAAACTGCATAGTGTGATCCCATCTCAAAAAGACGAAAAAGGGGGGCCTACCTTAGCTCAGTTCTTTAAGTGGCTGCTTCAACAAAGCAGTCAGGCTCAGGTTACTGTGGTTCAATCACCACAACTCAAGCCAGCCAAACCTTCCCTGAAGGCATTCCGAGCCAAAAAAAAAAAAAGTAGGCTCTTTCATATACTTCAAAATATATTATCCTTAAATACATTTTTAGGTTCCAGTTATTGATAGTTTACCTAGAATATTTGTATCTCCTATAAATGAGATTGCTGTGTAGGTCTGTTGATCTATATTAATCAGGTTTTGGTAATTCAGCTTATATTAAATTCCTCAATTAGGGGACTTTTCATGTTCTGTGATCTGAAATAATTTAGGTTACTTTTTAGAGTTTACCTCTTCGAACTTGAATAGAGAGCTGGGTATGATGGCACACATCTAATGCCAACACTCGGGAGGCTGAAGCTGCAGCACCACTGTGAGTTCAATATCCGTTTAGATTACAAAGTGAATTCAAGGCCAGTCTGAACTACATAGTGAAATCCTGTCTCAGAAAGAAAATAAGAGACAAAAGGTTTAAGCACTTGCCTGGCAAGTGCAAGGACCTGAGTTCAATCCCCGGTTCTGCAAAAAAAAAAAAAACAAAAGGTTAAATAGACAACTCAATTGGGAAAGTATTGTATTTTATGACATAAAGTAGACTTAAACTATGTGTCTATTCTTAGGTAATTATACTGTTCAACTTTTCTACTGTTTCTTGAGCCAATTATGTTAATTTATATTTTACTTGAAAACCATCTATTTCTAATATTTTTCTCAACTTATTAGCTGCAGGTGGTGTCACACACTTATGGCCTCAATTGCTTGAGAGGCTCCAATAAGAATTGAGCCCATGAATTCAAGACCAGTTGGGACAACATACTTAAGACCCTGACTACATAAGTACATACATAAGTGCCAATGAGGTGGCATAACCTCTAATTCCAGCCACTCAAGAGGCTGGCTAGTGGGGGCAAGCTGGCAATTTAGCAAGAGCCTGTCTCAAAATATAAAGCTGTGCAAGGCCCTGGGTTGAATCCCCAGAACCAAAACAAAACCTAAGTGATTATGTTTACATAGACTTCATATGGTTATTTTTATCTCTTTAAATCTTGTGGTTACTCTCCCATTGGTTATCTTATTTTTGTCTTCTCTTTTCTTACATCATGCTCACAGATTTATTTTGTTGAACTTCAAAGAAGTAAATTGGAGGTGTGGTGGTGCACGTCTGCAATCCCAGCACTGCAGAGGCTGAGGTGAGAGGATCATCTTAAGTTCAAGGCTAGCCTGGACCACATAGTGGTTTTGGGGCCAGCCTGAACTACACAGTGAGTCTCTCTCTCTCTCTCTCTCTCTCTCTCTCTCTCTCTCTCTCTCTGACACTCTCTGTCTGTCTCTCTGTCAGTCTCTCTCTGTCAGCTGTTAAAACATAATTTTGACACTGTCTCAAAAAAAAAGTTGGGAAAAAGTGGCGAGTTTAAGCTTTCTGCTATTATCCAATATCTTCTATTTTACAATTTTGGTTTATGTAATGATACCTCTTCCTATTTTTTTATATAATTTCTTAAGATGACTCTAATATCCTTAATTTTTCTAAGGTTCATTTTTTTTTAAAAAAATTGATTTCTATTTTGAGATGGTCTCACTGTGTAGTTCAGGCTGGCCTAGAACTATAGGCAATCCTCCTGCCTCAGCCTTCGAAATGCTGGGATTACAGGCATGTACTACCACACCCAGTTTATTTTAATCTCTTATTTTCAGTAAAGGCATTTTTGAAGTTGTAGTCTTCAAATAGAGCTTACATAGTGTTGTATATGTTTTAGTGTAAAAGCGTTTACTTTGTTATTGCTCTGTATATATGATAATTTGTTCTTTTAGAAAGGCTTTTATAAAAGGCCACTTTTAGCTTTGCAGGAAAATTGATACTAAAGTACGGAGAATCCCAGTATACCTTCTGCCCCCACACATGCATAGCCTCCCCCATTATCACTGGTCTCCACTTTGTTACAGTTGATTGATCCACATTAATACAAAATTATTACACCGCATACACTGTGTTCATTAGGATTTACTCTTGGTGTTGGACATTCTGTGGGTTTTGATAAATGTGCAATGCTATGTATCCACCATTACAGTATTACAAAGATTATTTTCACTGTCCCCCAATTCCTTTTTGCTGTTTTTATTCGTCCTGCCTTCCTCCAGCCCTGTGATCTTCTTACCATTTTCATAGTTTTGCCCTTTCCAGAGTGTAACAGAGTTAAAATCACACAATATATAGCTTTTTCAGGTTGACTTCTTTTAGTTAGAAATATGTATGGAAATTTATTCTGT